AAATATTTTTTCATATAAACCTATGTCCTTGCAATGCCCATAGTAACCTATGTTATTTGGGAATTTTTAGTTAGGAAGATACCAGGACAATAAATGACTGTTTTATATCTTCCAGGTTCATTTTAGCCTTCCTACATTCACACCCTAGAGGTTCCAGATTCTTATCCACAAAATGATTATGGTCTAGGACTGAATCAGATTTGTAACAAATGTCCATGGGGATCCTTCGACCTATCATTGATGGGCAGAGCCAATATATGTCTTCTAGCTCACTGAATCCTTACACCTCACCTCAGGGACTCTCTACAATGCTATATGGTTAGAAGCTTTCTTTCACAAGAGACAACAATGAATGAAAAATGATTTCAGAATAGAAAAATGGAAACCCAAGTCATTATATAGTGTCTAAAACCACCCTACATCTACCACCTTAGTGCCCAAATGTTCTAACATGTGTACTATACAAGATATCCTTCTTTAAGATTTTAAGTCTCATTATCTCTAATTTTATCTGATTACTGACATACACATTTATTTTAACACTCCAACATTTCCAGTCACATGATAGCATAAAACTTCTAACAGTGATCTACAATAATCTAGAAATCACTATGTTTGTTTTTTTTTAATTTACCAGAAAAAAATGAAGCATAAGGCTAATAAAATGAAACTTCTAATAAGTATGCTTTCTTCTAAATATTACCATATCAAAATGAAACAGCAGTCTACGTAATTACTCTTAAATAAAATACAGACTCTTAATCTTTTCCCTAAAAGGTTATTTAGCATGTCATTCTCTCTCTTTTTGTTATTAATCTTAAGATGTATTTATCCTCAAAAAATAAAAATAAAAATTATTTCTGAAGAGTGAGAAAAAAATTACAAAGTACAATTTTTTATGCTACAAGTTAGACAAAAATCTGTCACCATTTATGTTACAATTTTAGTCATCAATAAGGTACGTTTTTTTCAATGTACCACTCAAAAATCAATTATATCAACTCTTTTGTATAGAGAAACAGCACACCTTTCATGCAACTAGTATTAATGAGTAGACATGACTATAGAATCTCCATCTATTTCTCTGACAAAGCTGTGGCCACTCTAGTCTCTCATTGAAATTCCATTAATCTGGTGTACCAAGGTCCAATGCGAAAATCAAAACTCCATCTAACCCTTTATCAGCTTACAATAACCTACAAGTGAACTCTGCCTGTTAGCATGCAGCAAATTTTTATTTTGGTTTTAAACTGGGGGTTGGCCAAAAAAAAAAAAAAAAAAAAAAAGGCAGGCTGCAAACAGCATGTCTGGCAGGGTTTGGAGACCTTGTTTCTGTTTTCTGTTTTCATTCCCATTCAATTTCTGTAGGGTGTCTGGACCCTGTGAGATTATGCATTACTCTCCTNGGTACGTTTTTTTCAATGTACCACTCAAAAATCAATTATATCAACTCTTTTGTATAGAGAAACAGCACACCTTTCATGCAACTAGTATTAATGAGTAGACATGACTATAGAATCTCCATCTATTTCTCTGACAAAGCTGTGACCACTCTAGTCTCTCATTGAAATTCCATTAATCTGGTGTACCAAGGTCCAATGCGAAAATCAAAACTCCATCTAACCCTTTATCAGCTTACAATAACCTACAAGTGAACTCTGCCTGTTAGCATGCAGCAAGTTATGATTTTGCTATCAATCTGGCAGTTGGCCAATAAAAAAAAAAAAAAAGGCAGGCTGCAAACAGCATGTCTGGCAGGGTTTGGAGACCTTGTTTCTGTTTTCTGTTTTCATTCCCATTCAATTTCTGTAGGGTGTCTGGACCCTGTGAGATTATGCATTACTCTCCTTGGCTGTGATTTAATTGCTCCCAGCAATCAAGTCGAAGCATCACTTTAGTGTGCTTGAATTTCATTAGAAGATATAACTTATGCTACTTTCCTACAGTACCTAATAAACCATAAAGAAACCAAAACACATATGGCTTGAGGGAATAACTGGAAAATTAGGTGGCCATTTGGGAACTGAGTGAACTTTTGAACCAGAGGAACAGAGAAAAAGAAATATTAAAGGGAAAGACAGACTTAGAATGCACACAGAGATGTGCAGGTTTGACCTTTTCAGTACCTTGAAAATTACATTAGCATTATGAAAAATACATATCATGTTTAGAGTTTATAATCCATCAAAGTTCAGATACTTTGTTAGTGCCTACCATAAGGTAAAAGTCAAAAGGACAAAACAACAATCTGATTTGACAAAAGACCTTTTGGTGACCTGTGTTGATTTGGTTATACTTATTCTTAAATGCATTATCTTTTTTATAATTAATACATCACTAGAGTGAGGTCACATAATGAAGAAAAATTTATTCAGCAAAGGAAAGAGAACACATATAAAATCTAAGTTCCAGGGATAAAAACTGGTATGAAAAGATTATATTTTAGAATGGAAATTTGAAGTCCAAGTGGTAATTTGAAAATTAATTTATAATAATATTTTTATGTAAAACTATAAAAAATAGTATTATTTATATATGAAAAATGAATACCAAAGTTAAATTTTCAGTCTGCTTAAGTATTGCTTAAACACTAATGAATATACACTGATATTTAACAAAAAACTGATTTATACATAAATTTTATTAAATAATATTCAAATATTGATAAAGCAACCTTTCGACAACAAATCTTTCATGATATTACACATTTCCTATATATTTGGTTATAAAAACATAAATTATTTACTCTTAAGAAAGAAAACACAATAATCATGTAAATGCACTTTAAGAACAATTCCTTTTTTGTAACAAATCCTCTAGTGAGAGGATTTCTGGCTCTCATAGATATCTAACTGTTAAATTTTTTGGGGGTTGCAGTTTTTTTAAGAATGCACATAGTGCTCCCCTGTACATCAAAATATTTATGCTATNGGTTGCAGTTTTTTTAAGAATGCACATAGTGCTCCCCTGTACATCAAAATATTTATGCTATTTTGAGAAACTTTGAGTATATACATTCTATGAATATATTCTGAGTATGTGTATATATTCTATTGAGCATATTCTGTCTCTGCGTGTATATATACACACACACACAGCCATTCATATCTACCAATGTTTTACAGAGAAGCAAAACAGATGATAATATGCCTGAAAATAGTACAGTTTAAATAATAATTTGTTGTTTTGCCTGAAAATACTATTCTATCATAAAACATTTAGTAGAAATGCTTTTGAAGAGGAGGTTAGAAAAGCCAATGCTCTGTTTCAGATAATAAGTATGAGTGAAGAGAAATGTGCATCTTTTTTAAAGATAGAGAATATACTAGAAAAAAATCCCTTCCTTTAAAATTAGAAATTAAATGTTTGCCAAAGTGTAAAATTTAACATAAAATGGATATGATTATTATCACTACACATTGTACAAAGTTCTAGATATAAAAAAAAAGATTGTTTTGTTCTGAATCAGTGGTTAGGATGTTTATCACTTATGCATGTACTTGACTTATCCCTGTTCTGCAATAGACATAATTTTATATCTCATAAAAGCAATTTATGTTTCCAAAGGGAATAATCTGGATAACATAAAATGTGGAGTGCTCTGTTGCAGGAAGCATATTTTCATTCAGCAATTGTATTTAGAGATGGAACTGCACCGTTTGATCATCACGTAGTGGCAGAAGGCATTATTCATTTCTATGTCTATGTGAAACTTTGAGTGCCACAAATTAATATGCATGGCTAATTTATCAATA